AGGGACACAGGAGTGCGACGGGCCGCACGGAGCTGCAGGTGCTCGTGTCTTTGTTCGCGTGTCGGCTCCGACCCGTTTTCTCGCCCTCACCCCTCGACTCCGGGGCCTCAGATCTACAGCGAACACCGCATTTCCCGCAGTCTTCCTATCGTGATCCCCCACATCTCCGTCCCCCCAAGTTCATTTCCTCAGACTCCTGTCCTCCATCCCCGTGCTCCCAGCAGTCCTGGAAAAATGTTTATTTAAAGTGCGGACACGGGGGTGGGGGCTGGGGGGAAGGGCAGGGGTTTCCTCCTTCGGGGGGGTCACTTCTTCTTCTTCTTAGTCATCTTGAGCTTCCCCTCGATCAGCCGCTGGCCCTGCTTCTTGATCTCGGCCCGCGATGGGACGTAGCTGTGGTCCACGTCAGCGAACTGGAAGGTTTCTAGAAGGAGGGAGAGGAGGCGGGGAGCCGAGCCGCAGCCTGGCTGCAGCCCGTCCTGAGGGCCTGGATTCGGCTGCCGGCGTCACTCGTCACAGGCTCGCTGTGTTCTCTGTACCTCCGATGCCCGCGTTCGGACTAGTCAGTTCTTAGAGACCGCCCGTCCTGGGCGTCTTTCACGCAGACTGACCGATGCAGACCCCCGCCCCCGCCCTTGTCAAACCCTCACCAAGCCAGCAGCCCCCTGCCCAACGCCCCAGGGCCAGGGACCAGACAATTGGCACAGCCCCCTGCCTCAGCCCACGGGAAGGATTCAAAGGAGCTGATCTCAAGCTGTTGACCCCGCCTGTCCCCAAGAACCCCCTACAGGCTCTAACCTGGGGCTCTCCCTCGCCCCTCTCTGCCTCCTGGCCCGCACCTCCCCTGTGTCAGGAAATGTCATAAATCCTCCTGTCAATGGCACTAGCCTCTCCATGTTCTCACTAAGTCACCTCCATAAATTAAAATCCCGCGGGTACAACTGACACGCCCTCTCCATGTCTGACCCTCCAGGCTGCCCCGGTCAGACGGAGCACGTGCAGTGCCCACCTCTGTCCCTGCACAGCTCAGACCCGCCACCGCCTACATCCTCTCCCCACGCTGGGCAGCCTGGCCCCCCAGCCCGAAGCCTGTACCTATCATGTCATCCTCCAAGTCCTCGAAGTTGATCCTGGTGTTCTGCTTCTCCTTCAGAGTGGAAGACTCCAGGGCGTCTCTCACCTTCGTGTTGACCTGCGCGGTGTGGGAGGCTGTCAGCTCTAAGAGGAAGCGAGACGAAGTGAGACAAAGTGGGCGCCCTCCGCCCTCCTGGCCCGGGGCTACCTCCTCGGTCCTGGACAGATCCCGCACTCTGTCAGCCAGGTACAGCAGCTTCCCCTCGCAGTAGGCCAGCTTGCTCTGCGTGTCCAGCCTGCTGGAGGGCGCAGCTTCCTGCTGCAGACCAGAAGGAGGGGCTCGTCTTCCCCCTCCTCCCAGGAACCCTGAACAGGCAGCTCCTCCCCACATGCCAGGTACCTGGGCCCTGGGCAGGGGTATGCCCACCAGCCGGAGGTACAGGTTGTCGATGCCCATCTGGAGGGTGAGCAGCAGCTTCTGGCTCTTGGTCATGTTGCCGTAGGCCAGCTGCAGCCTCTTTTCCTCCTCGTTCAGCATGTTCTTCATTTTCTCCTGGATGGACTTAAAGCTGTTGAGGACGATGGGGAGGGGGTGGCACAGACCTGAGGGCGAGGCGCCAGGGTCCCGAGTTGGGTGCTGTGCTAAGTTCAGGGACTCAAGAGCCCGGATGCAGGCCCGTGGCATCTCCCCAGCTCATCTGCGGAGAACTCGCAGGCTCATGGGCAGTGAGTCCCCTCAGCCCCGCCTGGCGGGTGGCCCCGGAGAAGGGAGGGGCCGCCGGGGTACCTGACGGAGCTGGGGGTCTGGTGGAACTTGAGGAGCGCCTCCTCGGCCTCCAGCTTGCCCATCAGAGCCTCCAGCGCAGTCCGCCGCTCCTCGCAGTCCTCCATCTGCAGCTCCAGGTTGTCCTCCGTGTTCCTCTGAGCCAGGAACCGGCCTGCGATGTCCTGGCCGGGCCAGTGGGGAGAAAGCAGGTGTGAGCCAGGAGGGAAGCAGCCCACAGAACTGGCTGCTTCTGGGTCCTTCCCAGGGGTCAGCAGTGATGTCAACCACAGCCGAGCTCTGAGGGCTCGTGAGGGGCCAGCCATGGGGCAAAGTGTTTTTGTGCCGTCGCACGTGACCCGCACGACAAGCAGAGGGCAGCTAACCCCGGGGCAGAGACAGGAGCCCACTGCCAAGAAGGCATGGCTGTGAGTCGCTTGGCCAAGACGGACAAGCTTACCGCAGGGCCGTGGACAGGAGCTCAAGACTTACTAATAATAAGCTCAGATCGGATTAAAGGGAAAGGGGACAGGTGGGGAGGCAGCTGCTCCTCGTGATGCTGTCGGTTTGGGATGGGGTCGGGGTTGGAGGTGGAGGCCACACCCTCGGCGTTTAGATCCTCATACTCCATGGCTCTTTGAGGTCCCTGGAATGTGGCTCTGATGTGCCAGCTGTGTCCCGGGAGGGCCCTCTCCGTTGAGCCGCGGGGCCGCAGTGTTGTGTGTCCATTCATTCAAAAGGTGCCTGCAAGGCCTGGCCCAGCTCACAGGGCCTTGGGCAGGGGCTGGACCCCCACCGGCCCTCCCCCTGACACCTCGGGAGCGCCAAGGAACAGTACCCAGAGGTGGGAGCAGTGCACGGCGGTCTTGATTTTCTCCACCAAGGCGATCAGGTACGTCTGGTATTCGATATCGATCTGGGAGTTATCTCTTCTCCTCACTGGGCAGAGCAGAGGGGAAGGAAGGCCAGCATACAGGCATGGCATGGGAGCTCTTTGCCAGGCCCCGGCTGCCTCTATACATGCCCAGTCACCAGGGAGAGCCACCCAGGAGCTGGGTCCCATCAGAGCCGCCTGCACCTTAACTGGCTCCCTCTTCTAACCCAGCCCGTCCACAGGGTACCGGAAGCAGCCTGGCTCCATGGAGCTTAGTGGCGCTTCTCAGAGGCAGCTCAGGGCCCTAGGGGACTCAACTCATCTCTTCTGAGGCATCAGTGGGTGACTGGGCCATGGGGTGCCAAGGTGGTTTACAGCTGAAAAGCCGGGGAGCTCAGCCACACTTAGCCACGAGCTCAGAGCTGCGGCCGCTAGTTCTTGGCCTCTGCAGATACAGCCAGGGAGAGGCAGGGGTGCGTCTGTCTCCCTCACCCCAGCCACTGCCGGTCACTTGGTGACCTGACTGGGTGCCAGTGCTGGCCTCTCAGGACCCTGGCTGGAGGCAGGCAGGGAGCTGAGCGCTTACCTTTCGGGGTCTCTGTGCTTATCAGATTGGAAGGAAAGTCTGAGTCCCTGTGGCCCTGGTGGGAGGAGAAGGGGATGAGCTGAGGAGGGGAGGGGCCACCCCACTTTCCAGGTGCCACAGTGGGGGTCAGGAGGGGACTCACCCGGCGGTACTTCTCGCTGGTCTCCTTGGTGTGGATCTTGTCAATCAGCTTCTTCTGCTGGTTGAGCCGGTTCTCCCGCGCCCGGCGTTCCTGGATGAAGGAGGCCTCCTTCTGCCTCATGCTCATCTGCGGACACAGGGAGGCAGGTGGGGGTCTGTGTCAGGCCTCCCGTGGCGCTGAATCCGGGGGTCACTTTCAGTCCCCATCTTCCTGGATTTGGGAACAGCATTCGAGGCTACTGGCCGCGCCCTTCTTCCAACAACACGGTGCCTCTGACCACTTTCGCCGTCCTTCTCGCCGTCCCCTCCCCGGCTGGACCTCTGAGCGGCTGTCCTTCCCGGGCAGCACGCTTCCAGCGTGCCCTGCTCCGGTGGCTGGCTCCACCGCCCATCCACGCCCGCCGACGCATCCTGCACGCTGCCCTCTCCCTCGCCGTTCACAGCTCGGTGCCAGGCTTCATGGCCGCGACTTTTTAAAGGCTTCTCAGCTCCGCGTTCGTCCACGCTGCTCCACCACCGCTCTGGCCCAAGCACCCAGCGTCTGGACCCTGGTCCCCTCCAAGGCTCCAGGTCAGGTGGGGGCCGACACCCGAGCCCAGGCTCCTGGGCTCCAAGCTCCTCATGCCTCCAGGGCCCGTCTCGACGCCACCTCGCTGAGCAGGTTCGTGCCCACAGCACCTGTGTCTCTGCAGCGCTGGCCCGAGGCTGAGACTGGATGAGCGCTGCCTCCTCCCACTGCCCACTTCAAAAGGAAGGGACACGTGGCCTTGCAGGGGTCTTGAGGGGGCCCTGGCATAGACTGGGTGAGTGGGTGGCCCTGCCCGGCCCGGGCCAGCTCTCTCCCTACTCCGTCTACCCCATGGCTTCTGCCAAGTGGGACTCCCTCTGTCCAGGGCCACAGTGCGAGCAGAGAAGGCTGTTGGGGAGGGGGCCGTACTGGACTCCTGCGGCGATTGCCAGCAGCATGGGCGTGGGGCTGTCCTGATGGACCCTGAGCCAGAGAGGTCCGAAAGAGCCTTCCAGGGGCCTGAGCTCACCTTGACCTCATCTGTAATCATCATGGCGTCTTGGGACATGACTGTCATATCCGACAGTTCCGAGCAGTAGTCCACCACGAGATTCTGCAGCTTGTCCAGCTCTGTGGGGTATCCTGCCAGCTCCTGGATTGAAGGGGCAAGGCCAGGTGGGCACAGAGTCTGATGGCCCAGGGGCTGCGGGCCATCCACGTGCCACCCCGGCCCCTCCCTGCTTCTCTGGCGGCCCCTACAGAGGGCCTGCACCTGCCCCCCCAGCCCTCACCCAGAATGCTAGTGTCCAAGGACAGTGGCCTGTGGCCCCGGCCCCCTGCTGGGCACAGAGCAAGTGACAGTGTTTCGGGAGGGGCACACAGCATTTTCCTGGTGGACTCTCCCACCGCCCCAGGGACAGACAGCCTAGAGATACTTCCGGCAACGGGTCCCACCGTGAGAGGTGACTCAAACCCAGGGAGGCCCACTGCTTGGGAGTGGCTGCTGTCTACAGTGAAGCAGAAGGGCTCAAAATGGGTTTGAGGTCAGAGACTCGGAGTTCAAGGCCAAGGTCCCCCTGACCTTGAGCTGTGGGACCTTGGGAGAGCCGCTTAACCTGAGTGTCCCCATCTATAAAATCGGTGACGATGGCTCTTTCAGAAGGGTGCTGTCAAGGTCGACTGAGAAGGTACAGCGAAGTACTTAGAACGGGGCCAGGGTCCTAAGTGTCCAAGATATCTTGGCTCTTGATGTTTTGTTAATAACTACAATGTGGAATATTTGCTGTTTTTTTTTTTTTTAAAACACAGGTGACCCCCGGGAGGACACAGTGTCTTCAGATAATCCAGCAGGTCCACGTACAGCAAGTGGATGTTCTGGCTCGTAGTGATCTTCATCATGGTCTTTTCGATGTTGTTCTCCAGGAAAAGGAGGGGCTGGACCGTGGAGTGTAGTTGGAGTGGGAGGGGGTGTGAGGAGAAGGCGGCCCGGGAAGGAAGGGTGAACAGGGCCTCCGGGTGAGTCTCCGGGACCAGGAGGCCGAGGACAGAGACAGGTGGGAGGGCAAAGCTGTGTGCTGCTCGGCTTAGGGGGCCGCGGCGAGGATGTGGGAGGCTGTGACCCCAGCCGGGAAGAGCTGAAGCGCCAACCCATCCCATCACACCCTCCTCCCAAACCACATCTCCACCTGTCACCCTACCGGCCCACTGCCCTCCGGCCTCGGGGTGAGGAAGTCTGGGGTGCTTCCCTCACTTTCGCTGCCCCTCCTGCTAAGCTGCCCCTCCCAGCACGCTGGCACCCTGCCTCCAGGCTTCCTGTCCTTCCCATGTACAGTCCACCGGCCAGTGGCAGGCGCCTGTGCTCTTCTGCGGGGTTCCAAAAGGGGCTTCCTAGGCAGGGTCTGGCCTCACAGAGGGCTCGTGGTCCCTAGGAGCTGCCTCCTGGCCTCCTCCATGAGCAGCAGGGCAGCTGGCTGGGAAGAGGCGGGCAGCAAGCCTAGGTCACCGGCCTGCTCTAAGGTGGCTTGCCCTGGGACTTTCTGAGGGTGCAGGTCTCATGCCCTCAGAGGCCAGGGAACAAAAAACGAGAATCGAAGTAAAACCACACTAAACCAAGTACGTGCAGGAAAATCCAAACAACTCTGATCTATCCCATAAGACGCTTCCTTGGAGTAGCAAAAGGCGTTCTTGAAAGAATGTTGTAAGGGATGCTGGTGCCCCTGCTCAGCAGGTACCCAAAGCAGGGCTCAGTCCTCCCCTCGTGATCGGCCCTGCCCCAGAGGCTTCCGTCCCCACCGAGATCCTAGCCCTGCACACAGGCTGGGGCCTGAGACCCCCGCCCATCTCGACCAGCTGGGCTCCCTGGGGCTGGGGTGCAGGGTGAAGGGGCTCACTTTCTTCAGATAATCCAGCAGGTCCACGTACAGCAAGTGGATGTTCTGGCTCGTAGTGATCTTCATCATGGTCTTTTCGATGTTGTTCTCCAGCTGGCGAATGACCTGGGGACAACCCCAAGGGCACAATGCTAGCAGGCACCTAGAGACGCTGAGACCAGCTCAGGATGGGGCTGGACTTTCTTCCGAGGGTCTCATTCACTAAGCCCCGCCTACCTGAAGGAGTCCCGCCCTAGGCCGCGCCCCGCGTAGCCCCGCCCTGAGGCTCCGCCCCACGGAGTCCCGCCGAGGCTCCGCCCCCTGAAGGAGCCCCTCCCACTCCCCTCACGAGGCTCCGCCCCACCTGCAGCAAGCGCTGCTCCTCCTTGGTGGCCTCGGGCTGGTTCTGCAGGCTGGCCAGCTCCTGCTGCATGCTCTCCAACTGCTTCCCGCGCCGCCGCACCAGGTGGGTCAGCACGTTGTGCACGTTCACGCGATCGAAGACGTACTTGCGCAGCTTCTCCCGCGCCACCTGGCGGGAGAGAAGCCACGGCCCGCGCGTGGGTGCTCAACATGTCGCCTCCTCGCCTGCACCGGGGCGGCGGAGAGGCACCCTGGGGTGGGAAACTCATTCTGCCCTCCCACCGGCTCCCCAGTGTTGTTTAGTGGTGGGGTGCGCCGGCTGGGTGGGACTGAAGGGTCCCGCCCGCCGCCTCACCTCCATGGTGCAGCGGGAGTGCGCCAGCCTCATGGGGACATCCTTCCCGCAGGCCTTGGCGATGGTCCGCTGGTCGTACTGTGGGGCGGCGGCAGCCGAGCTGAGGGCGGGAGACTGGGGGGCGGCACCTCTGCCTCCCCCTGCCGCCGACCCCTCCAGTCATTCTCCCCGAGCCTCTTCTGCCTTGTCCCAGCCCAGCATCAAGACCCCAAGATGCAGAGCGCTAGGGGACCGCTTCCAGGCCTTCCCAGCTCAGATGTGATAGGGGCCGAAGCGGGGTCCCAGGTCTCCCGTACATGACCAGAGAGCCAGAGCGGCCCCTGCTGGACAGGGTAGCTCAGGAAAGGGCACCTAGTCAGGGAACCCACCCCGTCTTCTAGGGTGGGCTTGCTGGAGTGACGAGCCCGGCACGGGTCCCCGCTAACCCCTGCTCAGATGCTACCTGGCTCTACAAAGAATGAGGTCAGAGCGAGGAAGGGAGCAGAGGAGCCCGCGGTCCACCTGTGTGCGTTTCAGCCCGTGCCCGCCCCACCCTCGCCCCAGGCAGCAGGGAGTGGGCGGGGCTGTGCACCTTCTTGGCCAGAGCCCAGTCTTGGGCCCCTTGGCGGATGTTGCTGCGCAGGTGAGCCAGCGTCGCCTTGTTCTTCACCGTCTTCTCCTTCACCGCCTGGATCTGCAGCGCCCGGCATTGCTCTGCGGGCGGCCGGAGGGATGGAGCAGCTAGGGTACAGGCCAAGGGCCTGGCCGGACCCCAGGGTGGGCAGGCTGGCAGCAGGGGGCGCGCTGCCTCCACCTCAGGCTCCTATCTCCTGCCCTGTCGTCGGGGCCGCCGGCTGTCAGTGGCCAGCTGCGCTAGGCAGTGCAGACAGTGAAGTGGAAGCCGGGGATGGGCATGTCCTGTGATCCCTGCCAGACCTGCATCCCTTCCTGTCCCCTCTGGCTTTGGGGCCCACAATGCTCACAAATCTCCTTGAAGCGCCTCAGCTTCTCCTCTCCCCCACTCCTGCCCCTGCGTGAAAGGCCCCTTTGATTCTGCTCCCAGTTTTGGGGTGGAGGGCCGGGTGACCACTCGCTCCGTTTGCCTGGGCCCATCCCTGTGCTAAAATGGAAAGTCCTGCACCCTAGAGCCCCTGAGCTGGGTGGGGGGTGGTCCCCCGGCAGTGGACTCACCCTGGAGCCGGGTGATGGTCTTCAGCTCCTGGATCTGCTCGTCCAGTTCTGCCTCACTCCGTGTTTTCATGGTGGCCCTCGGCACCCCTGCACACCCTGTGCTGGGCCTGCTCAGCAGAGCTACACTTGAGATTGTCCCCGGAACCTGGGCCCTTTGTGATGGGGGCCAAGGTTCTCGAAGCCCAGGGAACCCTGGAATTCCTGGTCTGCTCTGCCACCACTCTGCCTCAAGCCAGCCTGGGGTTGTCCCAGGACACTTGAGTCTTATGGCCGCTGTGCTCAGGATCACTGACTGGGCTGGGGACCCTTCTTCCACAGGGAAGTGACTTGTGGTTTGGCAGTGCACCCCACGCCGGCCCCCCTACACCCTACCATCCCCTTTACCGAGCCGCCTACAACTCCCGACCCTTCACTGCCTTACAGGCTCCCCATGCTGCGCCCCCCTCCAAGTTCACACTGCACGCCCTGGGTGACCTGGCTCATGAGACCGCCAGCCTCGGCGCTCACTACCGTATCCTTCCCTGAGCTTCGTCCACTGCCTGGCGCCGCCCTGCTCTGCCTCCACTTCCCTGGGGAATCCTGTGTCTAGCTTTATATGTCACTCCAGGAGGGGTCAGCCCCCCATCTGCACCCCCAGCCCGAGCTTCCCTCAGAACCGTGTGCCCCAAGTGCCCATAGCCTGGGACTCCAGGGGCCGCACACCGATGGGTTACTTTATCCAGTAGCGCTGCGTGAGGTCGCTGGGGCGGCTCACACAATGGGGCTTTATCGTCCTGCATCCTGGAGGCTGGACCCTGAGATCCCTGAATGGGCAGGGGGGGTTCCTCCCGAGGCCTCTCTCCTGGGCCTGCAGACGGCGTCTGATCTCTGTGTCCCCACATGGCCTTTACTCTGTACCTGTCTGTGTCCTAATCTCTCATAAACACACCAGTAAGGCTGGATCAGGGTTCACTCTCATTTTACCTTAATCGCCTCTTCAGGAGCCCAAGCTCCAAATGCAGTCGTATTCTGAGGCCCTGGGTTGAGGGCTGTAATATGTGAATTTGGGGGTACGCAGTTCAGCATCACAATGGCCTTCACCCATGTGCGGTTACAGCACCCAACTTCCTCTGTGATCTCTCACGTAGATGCTTTACCTATCTGGTCGCTCATCTTTTATTTATTTTTTAAATTTTTTAAACGATTTATTTATTGTTTTAACATTTTATTTATTTTCCCCCGCCCCCTGGTCACTCATCTTTTAAAAAGTGAGTCCAGTCTGGTCTAAAGCTCCAAGTTCACCCTCTGCCCACCTCCCAGCCCAGGCCCTACCCTCAGGGGGCTGGAAGGGCCTGCCACGTGCATGGTCAGCTTCCCGTCCCCCCTTCTCCCAGGGCTTGAAGCAGAACCTGCTTGCCGTCCCCCAATATTGGTGCTCCCTTCTTGCTCAGAGAGAACCCCTGAATTTTAGTGGGGCACATGGCTGCCCAGAGCAAGGCCGTCTTCCTAGGTGCCTTTGCACAAGTGCACCCCACGACTTAGTTCTGGCCAATGGAGTGTAAGCAGAACGGTGAGTGAAATGTCCTCCTCCTTCCTCCTTCCTGTTGGCTGGGATGAAGACACGATGGCTGGAGCTGGCACAGCTGCCCGGGGCCATGAGATGGATTTGGAATAGAGGCCATTACCACAGGGAACAGACTAAAAGGAGCCTGGGTCCCTGACCCCGTCAGCCCCAGCCACCCACCTGGACTTTCGCACGTAGGGGAACTCACTCCAGCCTGCTCACGCCACGGCTGCCCTGGGCTTACTGTTCTTCAGCTTCCCACCAGCAGAGTCCCTGGTGTGTAACAGGTGCTCGGTGGATGTTCTTTGGAACGAGTGGCCATGCCAGGAGGCACAGGGGCTGAGCTGAGCTCATACAGCATGGCCCCGTGCTGTGTGCCTCCAGTGTGACTAACAAGCCAACTGCAAAGGACGGGGGACGTGCCCAGGTTTACGTCACCTCTGCCTGAGCTTTCCCCCCATGAGGACAGATGTCCAGGAAGCTGGCTCTGGCCTCCCTCCACCCCTGGGGAGAAGCGCCATCGTCCAATCGGTGTGTTTGGGATGACAAGAGGGTGGGCATAGCCACCTCCTGTCCCTCGTCTCTCGGGAGCCGGGTGCTAGGCCGCACTGCTCCCCATGCCACGTTGCACAGAAGTGACTCCCACAAGGCGAGGACTCGTAGTCTTACAGCGCCGGCGGGAGTGTCCAATTCTGGGGTTCAGCATTAGGAACTGCATGGCATGGCCTCCAGTATCAGCCACGTGGCACTAAGGTGACATTTGTCTCTCAGCTTCTTCCTGCTTTGACTTCCCAATCACTGTAGGACTCACTCAGGTGGCGAAAACAGCGAGCCGTTTATTAGTCCCACAACCCCGGGAGCATGTCACCTCTGACCGGGGGGATGCGGGGACCAGGGAGCACCGCCGGGTGGACGCTGGAGCTGCGCGCGGGACGGGCACCAGTCCTCTCTGCGTCCACCGTGTTCCTCGCTGCCCTACAGGAGGCCAACCCGGGAATGGCCCTCTCTGGCCTGGCCTCTAGGACAGGGCCCGGTCTCGGGGCGGAAGCAGACTGCACGCCTTGGAAGACCTGGGCGCACATGTGTGCAGAGGACACGGCTGGGGTACGTTCGGGTGCAGGGAGGGTGAGCCGTGTTCTAGAACTCTCCAGCCCCAGGCCTTGTGCGCCCCGGCTGGCACGCTCCTAGCTGCGCTGACCTGTAAGAGGGAATGGAGACAGCTCGATCCGCACCCCAGCGCTAGGGAACGGAGACAGCTCGATCCGCACCCCAGCGCTGCTCCCGGCCCCTGCACCCTCTCCGCCGTGGCTAAAGCAGAGGCCTGTAACAAGGACGCAGCCGTGGAGGCCCGGCCCGAGATCGATCAGCTTGGAGTCCGACGCCTGGCCTCTCGATTCAGCTGCTCTTCTTGGGGTGCCCACACTCCTCACTCTGCACCCCGCACCCCTGGGCCACCCAACTCCTCCTGGGTCTTCCTGCTGCACTTGGGGCTCTGAGGGGTCAGTCCGCTGTGCACACGGCACTCCAGGATGTGCACGCTGAGGGCACAGGCCGGGGGAGGGGCCCTGTCGAGGCCACACCTCGGCCCCGGGCTTGCCTGCCTAAAACTCCGGTTCTGCGTCCTGCTGCCCCGGGCCTCTCACCCGTGTCCACGTCCGTGGGAAGCTGCCCTGTTTCCAGGAAGAGCCAGAGGTGGCTGCATTTCTGCGACTCCACTCGCGTCACCCAGTAGCTGGCCACCGAGCCTGTGACTGGGGGGCAGAGGCGAGAGCTGGTAGGCTGGGGAGCTGGGGCCTCCACATTTCTCCGGGAAGAGGAACCTCGGCACAGGATTCTTCTGGGCAAATGCTGGTGGGGGACTTGGGCAGGGCTCCCACCGAGAACTGGGGCCCCATCCCAGGAGGCAGGGATGCCTGGAACACAGACCCCCCCCCTGCTCCTAGTGGGAACCCACCCCCACTGGCAACTCAGGTGCGTTTCAGGGACCCTGGGCACCCACTCTGGGGGACCCACCCACTGCAACCAGCACATGCCACTGAAAGGGGTACTTCAGCTTCCTCTGAATGAACATCTGTAGGCCCAAGGTCGCAGCGGTGCCTGCCAAAAGACACGACTCACATCAGCCAGCCCGTGCAGGGGCGGCCCAGGGAACCACCTAGCTCCAGCCTGCGTGCCCACCTGCCAGACTCCCAGCACCTGCGGGCAGCCGACCTGGCGCCACCTGCTGGGGAGTCAGGGTGAGACGGGAGGATGAGGTCCCTACACCCGAGGACACCCGGACCCAGCCTACCTGTGACAAAGGTGAAAATGCCCTTCATGAAGGCGGTCGACTGGCACGCGGCATACTCCCCCAGCCCCTGGGGAGGGGGAGGGAGTTGAAACTCAGTTCCCCTCCCTGTTTCTTCATCGTCTCTCCTGCCACTCCCTTGGGCGCACGTGGGGGAGGGGCCCTCATCGTGAGGCCCTGGCGGCTTGGAACCGTGCGCCGCCCCCATGCCCACCCAGGAGGCCCCGATTCCTATAGCAAGAGGGTCCCGACTCTCTACCCGTCTTCCCTGACGAGGACCCCCCCCCACCGAGCCTCCCGCCCCGCGCAGGTCCGCTGCTGAGGTCCGCGGCCCGCCTTCCATGCCGCCGTTCTCACCGGGTGCTTGGCGGCCACGGCGTCGTCCA